GTAAGGCATTCCCCTTGTGAACAGGAACCAGACAAGGATGCCCGGGATAACCACTCCTAATCAATATTCAGTATTAGAAGTACTTGATAGGATAATAAAACAAGAGGAGAAGGAAATAAGAGGCAGCCAAACTGGAAAAGAGATGGTAAAACTATCACTATATGGAGACGAGATGATAGTATACACAGAAAACTCCAAAGGCTCAACAAAAGACCTGTTCGATTTAGTAGAATAATTTAATAGAGTGGCAAGTTACAAGATCAACATATAAAAAACATTTGGATTTATCCACAGCATCAAAGAAAGCAAGGAAAAGGAAATCAGAAAAGTAATACTATTTACAAAGCTGACCCCAAGACAAAATATTCAGGACTAAACCTCACGAGACACAGAAGGCCTTCATAAGAAAAACTACAGAATACTACTATATGAAACAATAATAAACACAACTAAATAGAAAGATATTCCCTGTTCATCATCAGGAAGACTCAACATTGTGAAAATGGCAACCCTATCAAAAACAATCTACATGTTCAACATAATCCCAGTGCAGATACTATCCTCTTTTGATGCCAGAATAATTCAATATTTGACCATATAATATTTTCAGTATTGCAACTCATGGCTCAAGTTTGTTCCTCAGTTATTTCAGCTTGAAAAAAAAGGCATTCTTTTCTTTTGGTTTTCTACCTCTAGGTCTTTGCATATTTCATAAGAATGTATTGATTTGTTTTCTCAAGCAGCCTTTGAAGTCTTTTGTTCAGTTTTTTAGCTTAGTTTCTTCCTTTTACTTTAGCTTCTGATATCTGTTTGGTGTTTTCCTTTTTCTTGTCTTAAAAAAGCCTTTTGCAAGAATATGGAAACAGCCCAAGTATCCAACCACATATGAATGGATTGAGAAATTATGATTCATTCACACAGTGGAATACTATGCAGCACACAGAAGCAATAATTTTGTAAATTATTACCTAACTTGAGAAGGACTGGAGAGCATTATGCTGAGTGAACTAACTCAGTCCCATAAGGATAAATATTGTATAAAACCATTATTGTAGAATGAATATAAGGATTCAGGAGGGGTGGGAGAGGCTGGAAATAGAGGGATGTGGATGTGCAGGGGGAAGGGGAGCATTAATCATTGAGATATACAATTTGATGGGTGGGGGGGTGAGAGAAATTGAAAGAATTTGTTCAAATTTGTATTTGAATTTTGTAAATAAACTAGTGTGTCGGGGGGGGGGGAGCCTTTTGCATTCTTTATGCACAATGTCCTTGATATCACCCCTAAACTCATCTGGTCTTCAGTTGTTGGTGTTCAGTGTCTCAAATCTGTTCTTGAAATGGATTCTTAATTAGAGTGGTATATATTCAGCATTGTGTTTTTACTTTTGTAGATTCGTTTTTGTTATCTACAGTTCCATCTTGAACCTGTGAATAGTGCAACAATTTGTTCCATAATCAGCTCTTGACCTTGTTCTGAGTGATTATGCTTAGCTTTTCCGAGCTCTTTTTCCACTGTTATAAACAATGTTATTCTTGTCTGTTCTGTACAGCAAGGTATACATGTATGGTTTCTGTTTGTTTTTTCAAAAAAGGTGGTTGTTGTTGTTGTTATGTGCCGTCGGGTCGCTTGCGACTCCTAGCGACCCTATGTACAACAGCCCTAAACTCCGCTCTGTCCTGTGCCAATCGCACTGTCTCCGACACTCCCATCCCAATTAT